ACCACACAGCTCCATGCTCTCCCATCAACAAACCTGTACCCACACAGTGCCACCCCTCCCACCAATGTAGCATTTATCCAAACAGTGCCAGCCCCTTCTAGCACCAATGTAATGTGTACACACACACACACACACACACTGCCAGCCCCTTCTAGCACCATTCTAATGTGTACACACACACACACAATGCTAGCCCCTTCTAGCACCAATCTAATGTGTAAACACACACACTGCCAGCCCCTTCTAGCACCAATCTAACGTGTATACACACACACACCAGCCCCTTCTAGCACCAATCTAATGTGTACACACACACACACACTGCCAGCCCCTTCTAGCACCAATCTAATGTGTACAAACACACACTGCCAGCCCCTTCTAGCACCAATCTAATGTGTACACACACACTGCCAGACCCTTCTTGCACCAATCTAGTTTGTACAAACACACACACACACACACACTCCCAGCCCCTTCTAGCACCAATCTAATGTGTACACACACTGCCAGACCCTTCTAGCACCAATCTAATGTGTATACACACACACCAGCCCCTTCTAGCACCAATCTAATATGTACACACACATGCCAGACCCTTCTAGCACCAATCTATTGTGTATACACACACACACGCACACAATGCTAGCCCCTTCTAGCACCAATCTAATGTGTATCCACACACGCCAGCCCCTTCTAGCACCAATCTAATTGTTCACACACACACGCCAGCGCCTTCTAGCACACAATGTGTACACACACAATGCCAGCCCTCTCTAGCACTAATCTAATGTGTGTATATACACACACACACACACACACACACACACCAGCCCCTTCCAGCACCAATGTAATGTGTATACATACACTGAATCAGCACCTTCCCTCACTAATACTTGTACAGGTTACGGTAATGATGAAAGGGTCTGGCTGTCTGTGTACATGCACAGTGCCAGTCCATAATACCACTAGTTTACCTGGTAGACAGCTCCAGCTCACCCATGTTTTTCCCCATTACATAGAATCAATGTATACTTACTGAATGCCAGCCATGTCTGCCTCAGGTGTAAGTAGACCCGAACATCAGTCTGAAACCCAATGTCCGTCAAGCTCACATCTGATCCAGCTGTACCCTTCAACCGAGCATACTCCATGTAGCAGTGGAATATTCCTGCAAGAGACAATTGGCATATTCTCTATAACTGGCGCCATAACACTTTCTCATGGTCCAAAACTCATTTTCAGGCACATGGTAACCATGCCTCGGACAGTTCCTATTCGTCTCTACAGTCAGTGTTGGCATCACAGCGCTCCAGTGCTGTGTATTTGAAAAGGTTCTACTGAATTTATCTGCGTTAACCTATATTTTTATAACCACAGAAAAAAATGGAAATGTATTTAATTTATTCCCAGCCATAGAAATGCCGTGCTTGATTAGAGAGCTAGGACTCAGGAAGGGTCATGTTGGTCCTCTGCAGAGAGACCACTGCTTCTACACAGAGCAAGGAACCCCCCTCTGCAGTATGCTGGCAGGGTACAGACTTACTATTCAGGCTAAAGAAAAAACAAACATACCGTAAGACTTTGCACGCCTTGGAATGTATTTAGCCAATTTAAAATAAAAGTTCAGTTAGGCTTTAATTTAAAGAAAGGAAAAAGGACAACTAAGGCGGATCCCTGCACTTCTACATGTAAGAAATATACACAGTGATCAGGAAAAAGGGAGACCGCCTACTCACCATATCCCATGACTGCAATCACTAGGACAATCATCACCCACACCATAATTCCAGCCAGAAATCTCAGTAAGACCACAAATATCAAGCTGATCACCATGGCAATGATCAGACCTCTGCAGAGGAAAACAACATTTAAGGGAATGTTTAGTGATTTCGAACATATTTATTATAGTCAAATAATATTTTTTCGCTTTCTCAGTCAGGTAAATAAGAAATATTGCATGTTACATTTTTAGTATTCTTATTTCCAGTCAGGAGTGGTGTTCCCCGTTTAATTTCTCCTT